TTCTGGCTCAAATAAATAAGGGCGGCCATCAAACTCTGCAAAATCAAATTCCTCCTCCACAAAGTCGAAGTCTGGCAAAAAGTCAGCCATTATTCTATAAATCTTTCATAAAATAAATGAATGAACTTTTCAGGCTACTGTCCGGTTCTGCCTTCCAGCTGTTGCTGCTTGTTCAGGCACGCTATGAGATCGCTGCTTGTTCTCGCAGTATTTCGGCCGCGATTTGGAAAGCAGAGCTAAGGGGGTAAACAAACATGGCAGCACACCGGTAAGGTAAGACAACACGTTTACATGTCATTTTCTATATGTTCTCTGACATTTATCCTAATGATATGAGGCGATCTTTGTGGAAAAAAAGCTTGTTTAGTGGACTAACTTTGCACTTTAAGTATGCCCGTTCACTTACGTTTTAACAGGTCTGACGCTATGCGCCCCGGCTGTATCTAGGCGAACAGCTAACATGCTAACTATTATTTCTATGTCACTAGACACTTGAAACAAATTTAGGACGATAGGAGACAGGTTGAAATAAACCGAAATTTCCCTTTAAAGATAGAAAAATGACTTGACTCAACTTGCTTGACTCATACCAAGGACTTGACCTGACTTGCTTGATTCTAACCACTGTGACTTGGGACTTGCTTGAGACTTGAAGGTTAAAACTTGAGACTTGCTTAAGACAAGCAAATGTGTGACTTGACAAATACCTGACTGAGGTTCTCTGGTCTCCGTCCAATCATCACTGACATCAGTCTCAGGTTGTAAATGTGTATTTGAGTTCCTGGCTGGTTCTGCTCCTCCACAGACCTCTCCCTCTGCTTCTGTTTCCATCTGTTCTGTGTGTCTTTGATGAAGCTGTGACGACTGAGGTTTCTCTTCATCAACTTCACTCTTCACAGGGACAGGAGTGGATGTGAACTTGGTGATATCATCCTCCTCCAGCCCTTGAAGCTGCTCTCCCTCCTGACTGATCCAGAGTTCCTCCTGTTCCTCTTTAATGTGTGGAGGCTCTGGGTCCTCCTGGTCCACACTGGAGCTCCACTCCTGCTGCTCAGGGGGAACCTCTTCTTTAACCACCAACAGCTGCTGGACGTCTGCAGGAAACACACACACACACACACCCACACACACACACATTACAGAGAAATCATGTCTGGAGGCTACAGTGTGGCTTTTTACCTGCTCAGTCTAAAGTGAATTATGTGAGAATGATTGTCCATATGCGAGTTTGCTGTGCATCAAGTTTTATTACTGGCAGCCTGAGGAAAAAAAAATAAAATTATATAAAAGATTCTTCAACACAAATGTGGTGTTTTACTCAGGAAAACAGAGCTTTGTATCCACGTTATTCTTAACCCCCATGATACCTTGCATGAATTATAGATGCAGCTTCCAGTACTGAACCAGAACAGACGTTTTCCTATCATAATGGTACGGAACGGTACACTAACAGTTTGCTAATCCTCTTTTCTGTCACCTCAGACTGCCATCTCACAGCATTTGTTGTTTTCCTTTTTATCCAAGTGTGTTTGGGTCTCATGTAGGGTTGCCACTGTCCCGTATAATACGGGACCATCCCACATTTAAAATGTACTGTCCCTTACTAAATTAAAACAGAACGCATTTTGTCCCTTATTTCTGTGCACACACTGCTGCATAAACCATGTTTTCATGTACTGGGAATGACATGAGAAATATTAAACCAAAAGGGTTTCATGGAACATAGCAGAGAAATATTAAATCAGAATTTGCAGAGGAGCGTGACACAGAATGGCAGGTCCGTCACTCAGCGTCATCACTGCCATGGGTATGAGACTTCAACACGCAGGACCGCCATTCACACGCTCACTGACACCCTGACTGACTGTTGGTAGAATGATTACAGGGAAAGGTTAGCGTAAGGATGTGATGGGGTGGTTGCCTGGCAACAATATATGAGACACACATATATCACACACTCAAAATAGATGACTAAACACTATGTCCAATGTACTCTGATTTAATTCTAAAAAATGAAAGGAACAGCACTCCAAGTTTATCAAATTTTATTTTGCCACACAGACGTTTTGGGTCTGGCCCTTCTTCAGTGTGCTCTGGCAAACAATACAACAGCACGCACAGGTGTGCTTAATTATAAAACAACCCGACTGACACAGCTTGTAAATCACAGCAGTGGGAGTCAATTGGTGACTAAGTCACGTGACCATGCAAAAGAAAAGAATTAACAACAAAGAAATTAACAACAAAAATAAACCTAATGAGGATTACACACGATTCATAAAAAAACATGCAAATGAGATTTCCTCATTTAAACCCATAGGGATAAGTGTGTCAAAGAAATGGATCCAATATGTCTCTCTGAAGCAAGATCTTATCCCTGTTACCACTTCTGCGTGGCATGTTCACAGTCTCAATGCCCATGTAATGTAGTTCACTTACAGTGTGTTTATGACTATTAAAGTGTCTCGCAACGGAGGATTTTTCGTCATTATTACGAATGGAACACTTGGGTTCACAGATTCTGGTTTTTAACTCACGTTTTGTTTTACCAACATAATATAAATTGCACGGACATTTTAACAGATGAACAACATGTTTTGTATTGCATGTGATTCTGCCTCTTACTTTAATGTCAACTCCGGACTTTGGATGAGAAAATGTGTTACCTTTGATCATTTTTGTTTTTTGTTGTCTTTGTCTAAAGAAAGGTCGAGTACTATCAGTCTGAAGAACGGTTGAGTAATAATGAGTAGTTTTTTTTGTTTTTTTAAAAAACTTTTAAAAAAGTTAATCTTAATGTACAAGGAGTACAGTAAGATATGACAGTTCAGAGGGCTTTTATTCTGAAATGCTACATCAGATTGACCTGGTATTTTCTGGGTGACACCCTGAGGTTGTGTACTATCAGTCTGAAGTTGAACGGTTGAGTAATAACGGGTATTTTTTTTAATGTTAATCTTACTGTACAAGGAGCACAGTGAAATATGACAGTTCAGAGGGCTTTTATTCTGAAACGCTACGTCAGATTGACGTGATGTTTTCTGGGTGACACCCTGAGGTCGTTTTGGAAGCTTGCTTTTACTATACCCTGAGGTCGTTTTGGAAGCTTGCTTTTACTATACCCTGAGGTCGTTTTGGAAGCTTGCTTTTACTTTGAAATCAGTCCTTTCTCGCTTTTGCCGTAATGTGTAGTATATGTGCGCACTGCAAAACAATGTGAGGACTGGCTTGACCAAATGTTTCCAAGTGAGGGCTGGCTTGACCTCAGTAGAAGACAGACCTAATTGAGGCCAGCAAACAATTACAGTGATCTTGATTTTTAATATCAAATTTATTTAATTCAATATATCATTTACAAAATTGTGAATTACAGTGCATTATATATCAATTTATAGGAGGAAAAAGACAAGGTTACCTTGGTTTTTCAGTTCAGTACAGTGTGTAATACGACGTTAACACGTACAGAAGAATAAAAGTATTTATTTTGATGGATGAGCCCTGTGTTACTTTGCAAAACCTTGTTGATAAAATCACAACACAGACGATAAATCAAACAATGCAAATGTTGGTAGTTTTCATTTATTTAGATGAAATCAAACGCAGTAATGTGGGTCCATCTTCGCTGAATGCATGCACGCTCCCACGGCCAGGGGATACACTTCCTGTCGGGGATAAGTACTTTGGCACGACACCGGAAAAGCTAACGACACCAGAGAAGCTAACGGCACCTGAAAAGCTAGCCCCGGATCGAGACTGCCCTGTAGATTTTACAGTACATTCTCGGAGTTAACGTCCATATGGGAGCAGAGCGACAGTAAAGGAACAACGTACTTTAACACAAATGTTCAAATGCAAAAAATAAAGTCCTTACCTGAGTGCCATGGATGTCATCCCTGAGTACGCCCTTCCAAATGTACCGTATATTCCATATTTGTTTATAAAAAGGCACTTTTAACCAACGCTTTTAGTTTTCCTGTGTGACTCATTCGTTGTTTCCCTCAAAAGCACTACCTGCTTTCAACTGCGCCACAGCGCCACTATAGCAGTCACGGGTGGTAGTGCACATTAAAAGAAAGAGACAGGTACTGTTAATGTCACCTGACCTGTCAGTTGCCACATGTTTTTTTTTTCTTTAAAAAGCAATGCGTATACACAGGTTAAGATGACCTTAAAATGGATTTTAAAAAAGCCAAGGGTCTTAATAATCATGCTATTGTCACTCACTTTGCTTGTCTCTCCTTGAAATGTCACTGGTGACTCCAACACACCTGATGCCACGGGAAGTCTAGTGGCTAACCTGGTCCTTCATAAAGGCTTTAAGTGGACTGATGACAAGCACACTATGTTGTGCATCAAGATGCAACTAATTTTTTTTTACATATAACACAAGGATATTGGTCAATTCAGAGCCACAACATAGACAACATTCAAGCGATAATGGCATACAAAACACGAGTTAAAAGAGTGATTCTTTTTATTTTAGAAGTGGATAATGTCCAACTTTCAGAAAAACTGTTCACTTTGTGTTGCAGAATAATGTTAATAAAATTACTTACCATATCCATTTATTGTCCAAAATACCCAAAACAAACACTCTTTCCGTACCCAGTGGGAAGTACACCAAAAACATGTTCTCCATTCAGTAGAGACAAAAAGATCTCTTTGTGGCTGTCCCTGACTGAGATGGGAAGAGAAGCTAATGCATTGTTACCAACGCCAAGCTGGCAGACCCCCGAACCGTAGTAACGGGACCTCCGAAGACCACCAGCTCCTTTAGCTTGTGTTAGATCGTTGTAACAACAACACATAAACACCGGGATTTCGTGTGCGTTGAAGAACGGCACTTTATTTGCAGTACTGCAGGAATGATGCACAGCCTCTCTCATCAGTGTCTGACTTTTTCATAGAGAAAAAATAACTCAAAAACAGCATACAGAACGGTGTAGGCTTTCTCACTGTGGCTGCTGGATGTAAACAACATGGCACATGTCTCGCTTTCTTCCTGGGCGCATCTGTCTGACGTCACGCACCACACCCGGCGCACTAACATCTCATACCTCCTACATCAACTACACACATACACATCTCCACACATACAAACACAAGCCACACACATCAGGCTCAGCCTGTAACAGCATCTTCCACAGAAAGAGACATATTGTATCTAAAACTACTAAATAATAAACTACACTTACAATATCCATTAAAATTATCCTAAATAATATTTTAAACAACTCTACTTGAAATGAATATTTTAGATTACACCTAAAAAATACACTATTATAAAACAAAAACAATGAATAAAGTAAATGATAAGGCAAAAGCTAAATGAAAGTTATAAAGTTTGTTTTTGAGATTCTCTTTGTTCTCTGTTTCGATTCCAAAAGGTGATGGTTTGTCCTGGAAATGTCCTCAACAGTCACTGGACAACTGAACCAAAAAAAAAAA